GCCTCCGTGCGAACCAGAACCTGAACCTGATTCTTTAATTGTATTTCCTGATGCAACTGAACAGGCCTCTGAACATGTATCTGATTCTGAGGCCAGTGGCGGGGAAAGTGAAACTGAACTTCCTGATGAGAATGTTTTGGAATCAAGCAGTGATAGCTCTCCAGAGGGACTCACACCTGGGTTTGGTAATGAGGACCGAAGGGAACAGATTTGGAAAAATAGGAGTGAATCGCAGTTTCCACGAAGGTCAAATAGATTATGGGAGAGGGAGGCTTCAAAATCTGGAGGCGTTTCAAGAAATAGTTTCTTTAGTTTAAGGGGCCTCTCCCTGGCTGTTTAGCTAGATCAAGCATCGTTTTAGACTGAGGCAGTACCTTGGCAGAATTCCTGTGTTCCATGGCCTGCATTCCCAGAGGCTTCTAGTTTTCAAGTACGGTTAGTGATTTGCTAACAGGTTCCTGGTTTTTGTATTGTGGCTTTTGGAATTTGGCTCAAGTTCAGAGTTTTTCTGACTGCTGTGTTTCTACTATGGCATTTTGACTTTGCATTTACCTTTCTTTTGTAACTATTTTTCATCAATAAAGAGGATTGTTTTTCCCACAGTCTAGTGTGGTGGATTTAATCTTATGGTCTCTTTCCCTGATCTGGGATGCAACAATGTGTTCCCCTCTCATAAAAGGAATAAGGTGGAAAGACAGTGAGCCTGCCCTCGGTAGCCCTCAGCAAAGTAGAACAGCTTCCTTTTGGACTCTCTGGTCGAAGCAGCTTGAAGAAGGAGGAATAGGCAGCAGCCAAGATGAAATCACGGCCCTCTCTTTGTCGGGGTTTGGATGGAGGGAAACAACAACAGCTTCGAAAATGAAGCTCTCTCTCTTCCTTGACATGTTCAGTCTGCATGGAGCAAGGAAGCTTTATGCTGTGATCGGTGGGATCGCCCTGCAGAACATCCATCTGGAGCAAGGTTCTCAGCCCGCCTCTGTTTTTCTTCCTTGGTGCCTCTCATTCCCTTCTCAGAGTATTATATGTCTCCTCTGTAACAACAAGGCACCAGACATAGTGAAGACATCTGCCCTTGCGCTATGCTACTCTGCTGCTGAGTATGCATGCCCAGTGTGGAACACATCTCACCACACTAAAACAGTGGATGTGGCTCTTAATGAGACATGCCGCATTATCACAGGGTGTCTGCGCCCACACCACTGGAGAAATTACACTGCTTAGCTGGTATTGCACCACCTGACATCCACCGGGAAGTAGCAGCCAACAGTGAAAGGACCAAGGCAGAAACATCTCCAGCTCATCCCCTGTTTGGGTATCAGCCAGCACGTCAACGACTTAAATCAAGACATAGTTTTCTTAGATCTACAGAGACACTCGCTGGAACACCCCAGCAAGCGAGAGTCCAAAAGTGGCAGGCCCAAACCCAGCACCTCAATCCATGGGTGATACCAGATGAGAGACTCCCCCCTGGGCACACAGAAGACTGGGCGACTTGGAAGGCGCTGAACAGACTGCGCTCTGGCACCACGAGATGCAGAGCCAATCTTAAGAAATGGGGCTACAGGGTGGAATCCTCGGGATGCGAGTGCGGAGAAGAGCCAACCACAGACCTCCTGCTGCAATACAATCTGAGCCCTGCCACATGCACCATGGAGGACCTTCTTGCGGCAACACCAGAGGCACTCCAAGTGGCCAGATACTGGTCAAAGGACATTTAACTAACTACCAAGTTTGCAAAATCTGTGTGTGTTTTTTTCTTTTTAATCTGTGTGTTTGTTTTGTTCTGTTAGAATTGTAACACAACGGTATGGTTGCTGATGACACGATAAATAAATAAATAACCTCGGGGCCCACACACGTTGCAAACATCCTTTCATCCTTTGGGTTGCTTTTACTACCCTTAAAAACATAGCTTAGCTCTTGCTCTTAACTCTAAGGGGTGGCGCCTGTCTTCATTCCACTTCACAATCCCTTCTGGCTGCAGAATCATAGAACTCCAGGCTTGCACAGCCAAAGCACCCCCAACAGATGCCCATCCAGTTTCACAAGCATTCTCTCCTGACCTTTTGCCTGCATCTGTGATAGGCATCCTCAGAGGTTGTGAGGTTTGTTGGAAAATGGGGTTTATATATTTGTGGAATGTCCATGGTGGGAGAAAGAATTCTTGTCTGTTCAAGGTAGGTCTGAATGTTTCAATTGGCCCAAACTTGGCATAGATACTCAATATGCCCAAAAGTGAACACTGGTGTTGTTTGAGGAAAATAGACCTTGACATTTGGGAGTTGTAGTTGCTGGGATTTACTGAGCTCCACCAACGATGGAATTGAACCAAGCTTGGCACACAGATCTCCCATGACCAACAGAAAATACTGGAAGGGTTTGGGGGGCATTGACCTTGAGTTTTGGAGTTATAGTTCACCTACATCCAGTGAACACTGTGGACTCAAACAATGATGAATCTGGACCAAACTTGGCACAAATACTCAATATGCCCAAAAGTGAAAACTGGTGTTGTTTGAGGAAAATAAACCTTGACATTTGGGAGTTGTAGTTGCTGGGAGTTATAGTTCACCAAAGAGCATTCTGAACTCCACCAATGATGGAATTGAACCAAACTTGGCACACAGTTCTCCCATGACCAACAGAAAATACTGGAGGGGTTTGGTGGGCATTGATCTTGAGTTTTGGAGTTGTAGTTCATCTACATCCAGAGAACACTGTGGACTCAAACAATGAGCTGCGACCCCTTAATGCAGTTCCTCATGTTGTAGTGACCCCCAACCACAACATTATTTTTGTTGCAACTTCATAACTGGAATTTTGCTTAATGTTATGCATCATGAATCAAGGATGTATTTTCATTCACTGCACCAAATTTGGCACAAATACCCAATACGCCCAAATTTGAATACTGATTGGGTTGGGGTGGGGGATTGATTTTGTCATTTGGGAGTTGTAGTAGCTGGGATTTATGGTTCATTTAAATTCAAAGAGCATTCTGAACTCCACCAATGATGGAATTGAATCAAACTTGGCACATAGAACTCCCATGACCAACAGAAAATACTGGAAGGGTTTGGTGGGCATTGACCTTGAGTTTGGAGTTGTAGTTCACCTACATCCAGAGAACACTGTGGACTCAAACAATGATGGATCTGGACCAAACGGCACAAGCACTAAATACACCCAAATATGAACACTGGTGGAGTTTAGGGAAATAGACTTGACATTTGGGAGTTGTAGTTGCTGGGATTTATAGTTCATCTACAATCAAAGAGTATTCTGAACTCCACCAACAATGGAATTGAACCAAACTTGGTACACAGAACTCCCATGACCAACAGAAAATACTGGAAGGGTTTGGTGGCATTGACCTTGAGTTTTGGAGTTGTAGTTCACCTACATCCAGAGAGCACTGTGGACTCAAACAATGATGGATCTGGACCAAACTTGGCACGATTACTCAATATGCCCAAACTCTGGTGGAGTTTGGGGGAAAATAGAACTTGATATTTGGGAGTTGTAGTTGCTGGGATTTATAGTTCACCTACAATCAAAGAATATTCTGAATACCACCAACAATGGAATTGAACCCAACTTGCCACACAGAACTCCAATGACCAACAGAAAATACTGGAAGGGTTTGATGGGCATTGACCTTGGGTTTTGGAGTTGTAGTTCACCTACATCCAGATCAAACTTGGCAAGAATACTCAATATACCCAAAAGTGAACACTGGTGTTGTTTGAGAAAAATAGACCTTGACATTTGGGAGTTGTAGTTGCTGGGATTTAAAGTTCACCTACAATCAAAGAGCATATGGAACCCCACCAATGATAGAACCCAAATGATCTAAAGGTATATCATGTCAAAATGTCAATTTCTGTTATTTCAACTACTTTTACTATCTATCCATGCTTGCTTTTTTGGTGATTCTTCTAGCTTCCACGTTCGCTCAGACTGTTGGGGTTCAGCCTGAGTTTGAACTTGAACCTGATTCTCTGTTTGTTCCTCCTGATGCTAATGAAAATATATTTACTGATGCTAATGGAAATGTACCTTTGATGCCAATGCTCCTGAAATTAGTGAGGAAGAAACTGCTATAGGTTTGGAAAATGCCAATGTTCCTGAAATTAGTGAGGAAGGAACTTCTGTAGATTTGGAAAATGAAAGTACCAGTGTTCATGAGAATGTTTCAGAGGGAAGCCATGACCTTTCCCTCCCTTCTGCACCTGGTAACTTAATGAGAACAGAAGGGGCCAGATTTGGCAAGACAGAAGTAAATCACTCAGCTTGCGAAGGTCTTCCCGATTAAAAGAAATACAAACAATGGCTTCAAAGCAGAGGGGCGGTTCACGGAACCAATTCTTCGGCTTTAAGTGCCTTCCGCCGGGCTGACTTTCTCAGTTCAGGCATCATTTCAGATTGATGAAGACCTTGGCAGTTCTCCCGGTTTCCCTGGCCATGGTCTTGAAAGATTTCTAGGATATCAAGTACGGTTAGTGGATTGCTAACAGGTTCCAGTATTTCACAGTGTGGCTTTGGGTTTTGCTTTGTCCATTTAAATTCATGTTTGCTGATTTTGCTGTGGCTTTTGACTTGCATTTTTCCTTTATTTTGTAACCATTTTTCTTCAAAAAAAAGGATTGTTTTTCACAGTCAAGTGTGGTGGATAGTTATCTTAGGGCCTCGTTTCCTGCTCTGGATTGCAACACAGACACAATCCTTGCTGTTGTGGTGTTCAGGATGAAAAATCCATTATATGTCTTCAAAAGTAATCCGTTATGCCTAGTAAGAATGCCTCTGGATCAAGCATGGGCCAACTTGGGCCCTCCCTCCAGGTGCTTTGGACTTCCACAATTCCTAATTGTGGGAGTTGAAGTCCAAAGTACCTGGAGAGAGGGCCCAAGTTGGCCCATGCCTGCAGTAAGACAGTGGTGTGGAATGGACATTTCATGGCCCCGTCCTCATCCCTGACCCTCCTCGTTTGTCTCTTGCAGATCCGCCGGCCGTGGAGCCGGCCTTCCTGGAGATCCGCCAGGGCCAGGGCCGGACCGTCACCATGAGCTGCCGGGTGCTGAGAGCCTATCCCACCCGCGTCTTGACTTTCGAATGGCGGCTGGGCAACAAACTGCTTCGGACCGGGCAGTTCGACGCCCAGGACTCCACGGAGTACATCATCCGGAGCCTCTCCCGGGACAATTACGGGATTTACAACTGCAACATCATCAACGAAGCCGGGGCAGGGCGGTGCAGCTTCCTGGTGACAGGTAGGACGCCTCCATGCTTCTTCCATGGGACGTTGGGGATTACCGTATATACCCGAGTATAAGCCGACCCAAATAGAAGCCTAGGCACCTAATTTTGCCACAGAAAAACTGGGAAAACATATTGATTCGAGTATAAGCCAAGGGTGGGAAATGCAGCAGCGACTGGTCAATTTCAAAATAAAAATAGATAGCAATAAAATTACATTAATTGAGGTATTTGTAGGTTCAATGTTTTTGAATATTTACATAAGACTGTGATTTAAGATAAGACTGTCCAACTCTGATTAAACCATTATCTTCAATGTAAATGTGTTTACGTATCCTTCCAATAATAATAGAGTAAAATAATAAATATTATAAATATAATAAAAATAATAATAGAGTAAAATAATAAATGTAATAATAATAATAATAAATAGAGCAAAGCATTAAGTGTAATAATAATAAAAATAAATAATAAATGCAATAATAATAAATAGAGCAAAGCATTAAATGTAATAATACTAAAAATAAATAATAAATGCAATAATAATAAATAGAGCAAAGCATTAAGTGTAATAATACTAAAAATAAATAATAAATGTAATAATAACAATAAATAAAATAAAATAATAAATGAAAAAAAGAATAAATAGGGTAAAATAATAGATGCAATAATAACAGTAATAATAGAAATAAATAAATATAATAATAATAATAAATAGAGTAAAATAATAAATGTAATAATAATAGAGTAAAACAATAAGTGAAATAATAATAATAATAAATAGAGTAAAACATTAAATGCAATAATAATAATAAATAGAGTAAATAATAAATGTAATAATAGCAATAAATAGAATAAAATAATAAATGTGATAATAACAGTTTTAATAGAAATAAATATAATAATAAATAGAGTAAAACATTAAATGCAATAATAATAAAAATAAATAATAAATGTAATAATAACAATAAATAGAATAAAATAATAAATGAAATAAGAATAAGAAGGGTAAAATAATAGATGTAATAATAACAGTAATAATAGAAATAAATAAATACAATAATAATAATAAATAGAGTTAAATAATAAATGTAATAATAATAGAGTAAAATAATAAGTGAAATAATAATAAAAATAGAGTAAAATAATAAATGTAATAATAACAATAAATAGAATAAAATAATAAATGAAATAAGAATAAATAGGGTAAAATAATAGATGCAATAATAACAGTAATAATATAAATATAATAATAAATAGAGTAAAATAATAAATGTAATAATAAAAATAGAGTAAATAATAAATGTAATAATAACAATAAATAGAATAATAAATGAAATAAGAATAAATAGGGTAAAATAATAGATGCAATAATAACAGTAATAATATAAATATAATAATAAATAGAGTAAAATAATAAATGTAATAATAAAAATAGAGTAAATAATAAATGTAATAATAACAATAAATAGAATAATAAATGAAATAAGAATAAATAGGGTAAAATAATAGATGCAATAATAACAGTAATAATATAAATAAATAAATATAATAATAATAAAAATAGAGTAAATAATAAATGTAACAATAAGAATAAATAGAATAAAATAATAAATGTAATAATAACAGTTTTAATAGAAATAAATATAATAATAATAAATAGAGTAAAATAATAATGTAGTAATAAAAATAGAGTAAAATAATAAATGTAATAATAATAAAATAGAGTAAAACATTAAATACAATAATAATAAAAATAGAATAAAATAATAAATGTAATAATAATAGTTTTAATAGAAATAAATATAATAATAATAAATAGAGTAAAATAATAAATGTAATAATAATAATAAATAGAGTAAAACATTAAATGCAATAATAATAAAATAGAGTAAATAATAAATGTAATAATAACAATCAACAGAATAAAATAATACATGTACTAATAATAATAATAATAATAATAATAGGGTAAAATAATAATAGAAATAATACAATAAGAAATAGAGTACAATAATAAATATAATAAAATAACAATAATAGTGTAAAACAATGTAAATATAATAATAACAGAGTAAAATAATATATGTCATAATAATAATAAAATAAGGAAGGAGGAAAGGAAGCAAGGACAGAAGGGAGATTACACACGCACACAAATATCTTAGAATTGCAGAAATACAGTTGCTTGCATATAAAAATGCATTCCTCCAGCCCATTCCCAGGTGCATCATATACACTGAGCCTAATTTTGTTTCCAAATGGGTGATGATGATGATGATGATGATGATGATTTATTCCAAGTGTAGATACTCAGCCACAAATAATAGTCTATCATTATTATTATTATTATTATTATTATTATTATTATTATTATTACTAGCTGTGCCCTGCCACGCGTTGCTGTGGCCTATAGTAAGAATTTTCGAAGAAGAGGTAGATATCTGAACTATTATGAAAGAGAGGTACCTACCTATTCCTTCCCCCCTTTTTCTTCCCCTTCCCCTTTCTCTCTTTTCTTCCTTCTCTACCTCTTTCTTTCATTCCTTCTTTCGCTCTTTGGTTTCATCCTTCCTTCTCTCTTTCCTTCCTTCCTTCCTTCCCTCCCCTTTCTCCTGTTCTTCCCTCCCTGTTTCCTTCCTTCTTTCATTTTTATTTCCTTTTCTCCTTCCTTCCTTCTTTACCTCTTTCCTGCATTTCCTTCCCTTTTTCTTTCTACTTTCTCTTTTTCCTTCTTTCGGTACCTCTTTCCTTCTTCCTCCTTCCTTCCTTCCTTCCTTCCTTCCTTCTCTCTTTCCTTCCCTCCTTCCTTCCTGTCTGTTCTCCCCCAATACCATGGTAGAGTCTTTTCTAACTCTATTCTATGAGTCTATTTAATATAGTAATATCTAGTAGCAACATTATATTATATAGTAATATATATAAAAATAATATATATAATATATATATTATATATATATATATAATATGTATTATATAGAAATACACACACACATATATATAACAATACTTCATATAATAGTAATATATGAAGTATTGTTATATATACATGTGTGTGTGTATCACCAACCAGTGATCCAACCTGTTGTTTTAAATTGTATATTGTTTTTAATTGCTGTAAACCGCAATGAGTCGCCGATTTAGGCTGAGATATTAGCGGTATACAAGTGTATAAAATAAATAAATAAATAAATAAATAAGGCTGTACATGTGTCTACACTGCCATATAATCCAGTCCTAAGTAGATAATCTGGATTTTACATGGCAGTGTGGAAGGGTTGACTTTGGGTGCATCTACACTGTAGATTTAATAAAGGAGGATGAAACTGGTGAGGGGAGGAGAAAATCTATTTTCTGTCGTTTTGAAAGTGGGTTTTGGCATATGTAAGCATGAGAGGGGGCGGGGTTGAGTGGAGGACATAAATTGAACGGTTAAGTGTCTTGTGTCCAAATTTGGTGTCCATTCCCCCAGTGGTTTTGAGTTCTGATGGTAGCACGAACTAACATTACATTTTTATTTATATAGAATATTATTATTATTATTATTATTATTAGTAGTAGTAGTAGTAGTAGTATTACTTGGTACCTTTGGGCTGGCTTAGTGAAGTCATCTCTGCAGTGTGCCTGTGTTGGAGTCTGAGCATGAGATTCTCTTCTGCAAGGCCAAGGCAGCTTCTCCCTGGATGGATGGATGGATGGATGGATGGAGGCACACACACCTTTTTGGAGAAGGCATTCTGATCCTTGTTCTTCTCCCAACCAGCCAGCAGGGGTCAGCTTTGCTCAGCTTTGGTCCTGCTTGCCTGGTCCATGCATTTGATTGATTATTGATCAGGGAAGGGACTGGGTCATGCAAAGCGAGGGAGGAGACATCCAGAAAAATGGCATGTCTCTTGCAGTTGTCCCCGGCATGCATTTCACAGTGGGTAATGGGGTAATGAATTCCAGCATACACCCACCCTCACAAAATATGGCATTGATATGCAAGGCAAGGATGGATTGCCAAGCGAGCCCATCTCTCTTCCAACCTGCTTATTGGAAGATGACCGATCATTCTGTCGAGAGCAGAGCGCCCGCCTTCCTCCTTCGGCAAAGGAGCCCACATTTATGATAAGCTCTTCATAAAATATATATTGCATACTAAAAGGGCAAGGGGATAATACATGGCGTCTTTCAGGCCGGCTGTTTCGGGCCGTAACTCACGGGCTAAAGATACTGTTGTGTTTGGGATTTATAAACCACAAGCCCCATAAAGAAGGGAAGTGGAATTAGCCAGGGAGGGAGAGAGCGAAAGCCGTGGATTTCTCCATATACGTTGCATTGCATTTGCAGAAATGGAAAAAAAGACCAAATTCGAAGCCTAGCATAGCCTTCCCTAAAACTGGGCAGGTTGGAAGGAACAATAGCCGCCATGCAGGTGGTTTCTGGGAATACCTAGAGCAGTGGTTCTCAACCTTCCTATTGCCACGACCCCTAAATAGAGTTCCTTCTGTTGTGGTGACCCCCAACCATAAAATCATTTTCATTGCTCCTTCATAACTGTCATTTTGCTACTGATATCAATTGTAATGTAAATATCTGATATATTTTCATTTACTGGACCTAATTTGGCACAAATACTCAATACACCCAAGTTTGAACACTTGTGGGGTGTGGGGGGGGGGGGGTTATTTTGTCATTGGGGAGTTGTAGTTGCTGGGATTTATAGTTCACCTACAATCAAAAGAGCCTTCTGAACTCCACCAATGATGGAATTGAACCAAACTTGGCACACAGAACTCCCATGACCAACAGAAAACACTTTGGTGGGACCTTGAGTTTGGGAGTTGTAGTTCACCTACATCCAGGTAGGGCACTGTGGACTTAAACAATGATGGATCCTAACCAAACTTGGCATGGATACTCAATATGCCCAAATGTGAACAGTGGTGGAGTTTGGGGAAGATAGACACTGACACTTGTGAGTTGTAGTTACTGGGATGTATAGTTCACCTACAATCAAAGAGCATTCTGA